TAATAAAGAAAATATAAAAGCTGTTCTATAAAAAATAATTTTTCATAACAAAAACTATTAGAGAATAACAATGGTAAATACACTGTGTATCATGATCTTAAAAGAATATATTTTCATTTGCTAATCTCTCAGCTCATTTCCTAATAATACTATACCTTCTTTTTTGCATAAAACATTTTAATTATTAACAAAGTATCTAACAGTATAATTTTGAACAATTTCTTCCTATTTCACAATAACTATTATTCTTTTTGGCCCTTATTTACACTTTCAGTTTCTCACACCAGGGAGACAATGAGTATTTCTAGCAACTTTTACAAATTCATGTAAAATGGATTTCATGAAAAGATTATGTTTCCCAAAGAGACAAAGCATTTAAATGCTATATAATTTAGTTTAAAATTTCAAGAACACCTCTCTTTTAGTCTTTTGAATAACAATTTAAGGGCTTAATGCTGTTGTTAATATTATTTCCATAAAAAGATCTACGACACTTCTTGTAAGAATGGAACAAAATATTATACTGTTGTATAATGTCACTTGCTACATACAACTGCAAATTTTAAAAGACTGGCTTATTAAAGAGCCAAAAATGCTCTTATTAGGAAGTCCTGCACTGTAGTTTTCATAGTTATTTTGTTTAAAATAAAAACAGAAAGTTACTGAATCTTAAATGTGAAAAGAGCTATACTGATTGAAAAGAAGGCCAAGAAATTTATAAATAGCTCTGACAACTGTTCATTTCAAAGTCATTTGTCTATATTCAATGTTGATATTAATAATAATAGTAACAATAATGTTGGAAATTAACACTTTTTGGCCACTTACTGTGCTAGACACTGATCTAAGTTCTTTGCATGCGGTAATTCATTCTTAATTATGGAACTACAAAACTAGGCACTATCATTATTTCCATTTTATGGACAAGCAGAGGAATGGAAGGTTAGTAACTTGGTCAAGGTTCCACAGCAGAGGCCCCTTCTACTGTGCTATCTATTGAGAAAGGAAAGCACTATTTATCTGCTTTACTCAATGCATTCATTACACTCTGAAATAAATGCTGATTGTTTATAATTCTGTTTATTATCATAGTCAGATCAATAAACTGCATGTTAATTAGGCATGTGCCACTCTAATATAAATAACACTAAAGACCAATATGAGCAAATGCTATTAAAAGCATACATTATCTTTACATATGTATGTTCTTATGTGTACGTGAACAAAATAAGTAGCAAAAGTTTGAGATAACTAGTAACTTCATTGTTTCTGAATCAAAACTACAGAGTCCAACAAAAAAATGCATAAACACATCAGGAAAAGAAAAACTTGTATAAATATTTTAATACTAAATTTATTGAGATATCCTGAGACTAACACAAGTTACCTTTGGGCTCTGCAGTTACAAAAGGTGCTCACAGTGGTGGCCATGAGCTTGCAGACATTTATTAGCACAGTGAACTGCTGCGTGGGTAACCTGGCCATTGAGCCTGCTGCACATGCATTTCAATTTCTTCTCTAAGGGCTGGCAGTGTAGTGGGTTTTCTGCAATCTATGACATCAGGTTCCCTCAGTGACAAAATCTGCAGGTGTTAAATAGGAGAGCATGGACCTTACATATTTCTCTTTTCCGGGAGTGTGTATACATTTTTTGGCAGACTCTGCATTTTAAATTATGTCAATTATAATTTTGAGTGTCTTTTTAGCATTAATCACGGAGTCTCCATATTTTTAAATTACCTGAATCTCTGTCCGTAGCCCCGACCCTTGTGACAAACTCCCCTGGACTTTGGTTTTCTTTAACTGAAGCTTCATACAGGTGCTGCTTAAATACTGGTGCCTCATCATTTACATCAAGGACAGTAACTGTCATCGTCTGGGATGAAGAACGTGCTGGGACCCCATCATCCAGGGCCACGAGGGTCAGAATGTGCTGAGTTTTTACTTCATAATCCAAAGGGCAAGCTATAGTTAGTAAGCCTGTTTTGAAAGAGAAGACAAGCGATATGTTACGGATATTCCTTAGGTCAGTTACGTGTATGCTTGTTCTGCCTATGTCTGCCTCATCTAACTCAATTAAAAACTCTGAATTTTTCATTGAAGAATGAATTATATTAAACCAACTTTAAAATCATACATGATCTAGACTAAAAATTTATTATTATAGTCAGAAAAGTCAATTTAAATTACAAGCGTGATTAAAAAATAATTCCTCCTATACCACTGTCTATGAAGAGAACTAAATTATGTATCTACCCAATATTTACCTCACTTTAAAAGATATCTGATACAAAGGATCTATATATTTTCATGTCATATGGCACTTCCTGTTTAAAAGTAACCAAGCTACAAAAATTAAGTATGATTACATGGTTTAAATCATTTTGTCTTTGTTAAAGAGTTATGGTCACTCTATATTTGCCCGAAGGTGTCTTTTTATTAACAAAAAGGCAATGATGTCATAACTCAGTCAATAAACTTCACGAATGCAACACGCTTCTGTATTACTACCACGGAAACACAAATCATACACGTAGCATTCTACAGAATCATTATGTAATTACAATTGTCACGTTTTCTTTTATGATTGCTGACTTTCTCTCATCCTCTAATAAATTTTCTTCAAACACTTAAAAAGGTTTAGTGAATCAGATTTTATAAAATAGTTTTTTTCAGCAATTATTCATCACTTTACACTTCCCAGCCCATTAGCTGTTTAACAATTTACTATTTCTATTTTACGAGAAGAAACTTGAGCCTTCGGAGAGGAAAAATAAATCCCATCTCATATGAATACACTCGGTAATTATCATTTTATGTCTTGGAAAAATATCTCAGCTGAAACAGCCTCTACAATTGTCCAAGATGCATGGCACCTCAGTTACTGAGACACAAGTCCAGTTTTATTCATCCACTTTAACAATCGGAAATGGACCTGCCTTAGCCGTCTTGGAAAACAGTTTAAGTATGGTTGAAACAGGTCCCCAGAGAGGCTCAGTTCTTACAGACACAGGCCGTCGGTGTCTGCACTGTCTCTCCGTCAGCTGGGCACTGAGGTTGTGCTCCCACACGCTCCAGAATGGAACCATGTGTATGGGATTTAATAAATATTTTGATGAAATTTTCCAACAGAATAAGGCCAGACTATAATGATGACTTCCAAGTCCTAAACACTCAGTTTCATTCCAAGTAATGCGCTTATTAACAGTTGGGCCAAATGGTACAATCTGAATATTTTTCCCAAGGGTCAAGTTGAAATGACTTTATTACTTGAAGAATGAGTTAAAGTTCACTGATTTTTCAGTGTCCCCTGAAAATAAAGTACAGGGACGTCCATTTCCAGATTCACAAGAATGGTACTTTGAACACAGGCTTTTTCATCAGATTCATAAAATATTATACTTCTAGATGTTATCTGGCAACATGGCGGCAGCAAGACAACTGAAGTGGTAGGGAGGGACACTATCACGGAGTACTCGACAATGAATGAATGTTTCTGCAAAAGAATGAAATGTTACTGATTTCCCTAGTGTTGTTCCTCAAAAAACTAAAACTAGAAGTCTCACTGACCCAGCCATACTTTCTCTGGGTATGCTCCCCAAAGAGTTAAAAGTCATCATATTACAGTGATATATGCACATTCACATTTATAGCAGCACAGGTCGTAACAGCTAAATTATGGAAGCAGCCCACACATCCACCGTCAGATGATGAGATAAAGAAAATGTGGTATACAGGCAATGGAGCGCTACACAGCCATAAAGGAGGATGATTTCGAGTCATTTGTAGAAAAACGGATGGCCTTTGACACCATAATGCTAAGTGGGATACTTCAGACGTGGAAGATGAAAATCACGTGGTTTCTCTAATACGAGAAATCCAAATCATAAATAACTTACAGGGCAAAATAAAAGAGAGATAGCAGGAAACAGGAAGGTGGACTCTGTGGAAATGGATAGGGGATCTGGGGAAGGAGAAAGGACAGAAGGGAAAGGGAGAGTGAAACTGATCAAGATGCAGTATGGGGGCCGGGGATTTAGCTCAGTGGTTCCACTGCCTGCCTCGCAAGCACAAAGTCCCAAGTTTGATCCCCAGTACAAAAAAAAAAAAAAAAAAAGATGCAATATGTATATGTACCAATTCTCATGGTAAAGGTAATTATCCAGTACTGCCAGCATATACTAATAAGACCATTTTAAGGAAAAATAAAATGTTACAACTGATGCGAAAAGCAAGAGCCTCAATTTCCAAATGAATTCAATAATTAAAACAACAGTTCCAGCTATTTGCAAATACCTGCATAATCTAAAGGTAAATTTCTATATCCAAGTCTCTAAATGACTCTGTTGATGAAGTATGTGGCTATCTTGGCTTACTTGTGCCATCTCCTACTACAAGGTGCCACATGGGGACAGCAAAAGAGTCCCTTATTGTACAGTCAGCCCATGAGACAGGAGTCGGCCACAAAACACAATTGATGTTAGTAAACAGGCCAATTAAAGTTGGTTCTGCAAATACACTCTCTGTGTTTATTATACATATAAATAAAGAAAGCCAAACATTTTAAAGTTATTAAAGCATTTGCACCTTGAGAACATTTTAACAAGGGGAAATGAAAAGCCTGAATATAAGTAGGTAATAAGAGATTTTAATTAAAAGTGACGGGAAAAGAAAGAAAAGGTACCCAAATCAAAGAAGAAGAAGTAAAATTATCCCTGGCCATGGACTACACTATCTTTCAAATAGAAATCCCTAATGACTTACAACAAGCAAGTTCAGTAAAGTTAATATACAAGATCAATATCAAAAATAAATTGTTTCTATATACCCACAGAAATTGTCTGAAAAAGAAATTATAAAAACTCCATTTACAATGATACCAAAAGGAATAAAATACTTAAGTCAAAAATATCTAAGCTGGTAAGCAACTTGTGTGCCAAAAATCCATAAAACATTGATGAAACAAATTAAAGAACACATACCAGATGGAAAGCTGTTCCATGTCCATGGAAGGAAAAAATAATACTGTAAAAATGTTAAAACTATCCAAAATGACCTAGGGATTCAGTGTGATCCCTTCAAAGGTTGTGGTGACAGTTTTTGGAAGGAATAGAAATAAGTACTAAATTCATAGAGACTCTCAAAGAACTCCAAATAGCCAAAATAATCTTGGGAAAGAACAACACAGCTGAAGACACCATTTTCCTAACTTCAAAACATAGCACAAAAGTATAGTCATGAAAAGTATATGCTGGCCTTAAGAGAATGGAAACAGAGTAAAGATCCCAGAAAGAATGGTTAACTGCTTCAGACAAGAGCGCCAGGGGTACATAACGGTGAAAGGTCAGATTCTCAGCCAATTGTGTGGGGTAACTGAATATCCATGTGCAAAAGAATGAAGCTGAACCTTTATCCTATATCGGTTCCTTAAAAAGACAAAAAAAGACTCAAAATGGGTTAAGGGTCAATTAGGATCAGAAAGAATAAAAGCCATAGAAAAAAATTAAAGAAAAGCATTATGACATTGGTTTTGGCAATGGTCTCATGAATATGACAACAAAAGCAAAAGTAAGTGTGAATTCGCTCAACCATGCAGCAAAGAAAAGGAGAGTACACATTGTGAGGAAATATCTTCAAGCTGTATCTCTGATAGGGGGTTATTATCCAAAATATGTGAAGAACTCTTACAGCTGAACAAGAAAAAACCAAGCAAACAAAAAAATGAACAGAGAACTTGAATAGGCACTTCTTCGAAGACGACATAAAAATGGTCAGCAAGTATATGAAAAAGATATTTTGTGTCAGTAATCGTCAGGGAAGTGCAAATAAAAACCACCGTGAATTACTACTTTACAACCGTCACAGAAAAAAGACAAGACTTGTCAAGGATGTGCAGAAACTGAAACCTTTCCACATCTTGATGGTGATGCAAAATGTTTCAGCTGAAAGTCATGGAGTCTCTACAAAAATGGTTTTAAAGTTAAAATAAAACTATCACACAACCTGCAACTTCATTTCTGGATATTTATGCAAAACAACTGACATTAGGATCCCCAAGAGATAGTAGCATTCCCGTGTTTACTGCAGCACTGGTCACAATAGCCAAGATGTGGAAACAACTCAAATGTCCATCAGCACATGAATGGATAAAAGAAAATACGGCATACACATATGCAATGGAATACTATTCAGCCTTTAAAAAGGCAAATACCACCTAATTCTGCTTCTATGAGATGTTTAAAACGTCGAATTCACAGAATCAAAGAGTGGAATAGTGGTTGTCAGGGGCTGGATGTGGGAATGATGAGAAACTGAAGTTTCAATTCAGCAGGATGAGGAAGCTCTAGAGGTCTGTTGTACCATATTGCACCAGAGTGAAGAATAATGTGTTGTAATTTGTTAGAAGGGAAAGTTTCGTGTTAGGGTTTCTTACCACAGTAAAATAAAATAAAATAAAAATGTCTTCAAATGACTCCGGGGCACTGTACCTGATGACTCATCGAGCATAAAGGCCGCGTTTGCATTTCCGGAGCGGATGCCGTAGGTTACTTTTCCGTTCCGTCCCTCATCTGGGTCTCGAGCATGTACACGGTGCACGGAGGAGCCCACGGTGGCGTCCTCTCGGACACAGGCGACGGGCGAGGACACGAAAGCGGGGCTGTGGTCGTTTACATCCAAAATCGCCACTCTGGCTATCTGCGACCTGGAGCGTCGGTCTGTCACGTTCACGGCCTGGTCAGACGCGGTGACCATCAGGACGACGGCCGGGACGCTCTCTCTGTCCAAGGGGGCCGCGGTGACTAATGTGCCAAACGAGGGGTGGATGAGAAACGGGTTCGTCCCACGGTGGGGGGATTCAATGACGTACTGTACCCTGCTGTTCAAAAAGCTACCGTCGCCGTCTTTGGCATTGAACGTGTGCAGCAGGGTCCCTACGGGAACATTCTCGTCTACGCTTATGGAGATGACCTGGTCCTGGAAGGCAGGAGAGTGGTCGTTTTGATCTTCCACATCAACACTAAGGAAGACTGTGCTACTCAGGGCTGGACTCTGGCTGTGGTCTTTGGTAATCAACCTGAAAAGATAATGCGAAGCTGTTTCATAATCCAGTTCCTTAGAAAGAAACAAGTCTCCTGTTGAGCCGTCGATGTCAAAGTGACCATTCTTGTCCTCCGTAACAATACTGAAGTGCAACTTTGCACTGTGATGTTGCTGGAGGTGATCAGGAGACTTCATCAAGCTCAAGATTTTTGCTGGCTTCGAGTTCTCTGGTATAACTAAATGCCTGATATTCTGAGAAGCGAAACCTCGGCCTTTGGACAGTGGTATCACCTGAAATCAGAATAAACAGAAGCTGTTCATTTTGAATAGTTAAATAATCGACTAAACATTAACAGTTAATAGCAATACATGCTATGATATCATTTGGGAAGCTAATTCCTATTTGTGTGATATGAACAAGCTAATTAGTGAGAAAATATCATTTTATATGATGTAATTCCAGCATGCTCGGAAGATTGAAATTGTGTAATACTGAGGAGATATGAAATGCCAGAATTTTCTAACTTTCAGTTTGCTGTAATTTTTTGATAGTTTGGTGAGCCATGCAATGATTAAGTTGAAATGTAGCCTTGTAATTCTTGCATTGGAATGTAGGACAGCTAGTTCTCCAAATTACTCTGAATTCTGGGGACCAATCTGTCCGTAACAATATGTTTATTCATTTAAGTATCTATCCATTGTGACATCTTTATACATTTAAATACCATGACTTTTGTGGAAGCACAGAATTTGATATATGATTATATATGTTTTTCTTATAACACACATTTTTTTAATCTATAAAGGGTATAATTTGAAAACAGAACTCCTGGGGGAAATATATCCTTGAGTTTACATATACATAAAATATATACGCTATGTAGAGTATATATTTACATATTTTATATATTTATATATATCTGATTATCGAGATATAGATCTATATCAGATTATATATGTGCATCAACAAAGAAATCCAGTTATGCACAATCATTTTAATTTTGCTGTTTTGTAAAATTTTTACCTACTATGAACACTTTATACAACTTGTTTGCTTAATATGAAGCCTTAAAATACGGATTTTAAGCAACTAATCTAAGCTTTAAAAACTTCACTAAACGATGGGACTTTTTATGTGGCTGTTAACAGACAAGTTTCTCCTGCAAATTTGCCAGGTTGTTGTGATGAGGAACAACTAAAAGAAAAGACATCATTTGTTCACCATAAACAAAGCACCGTAAGTGTCCATGTGACAGTATCTTGTCAAGAACTACATAAAACTAAAACAATTATTTGGACTTAAATAATTTCCTAGTAATAAGAATGTAAATATGTGTATGCAAGTGATCTTAAAGTAATACACATTAAATGTGCTTTCATTCTGTCCATTTGTATAAAAATCAAGTGAAACCCTGAGCGTGTTCTTCCTCACTGTAAGGTGACAACATTACCTGAATATTAAGCACTGCCTGGCCTTGCAGTGGAGGCTGACCCTGGTCACTGGCGATGACCGTCAGCCTGTAGGAGCGTCTGTAGTTGTAGGAAAGTATTGTGCTTGTTCTTATTTCACCACTGTTGGCATCGATCTTAAAATGATCAGAATAATCTTCTACACACACAAAAAAAATTCAGAAACTAACGTTAACTAACAAGACAGAAAACAGAATCAGTGAATCCAGTGCATTTATGATCATTTGGGAATATTTATTTCCCTAAATTCCCTAAGAGTCGTGAACAAGTACATGGAGACGGATGCATTTAGCCTGATAAAACCTTATACAATGTATACATGTGTCAAAATATCACATAGTATCCTATTATATGTAGAACTGTTAAGTTTTTATATATCAGTTTTGAATAAATTTAAACTAAAAGATGTCACTAAAATATAGACGAGAAACAGAACAGTTTTTAAAATGATATAATGAATTTCCTGTATTTATTACCTAGCTTCAATAACAATCAACTCTTAATTCATCTATTTCCACTTTATATAACTTCCTTTCCCTCATTTTCTTTTGAAGTCCCAGAAATCATATCATTTCTTCTGTGTACAATTCAACCTGCATCTCTAAAAGACAAGGAATATTTTAAAATTATCATGTATTATAAACTTTTAAAAAAATGATCCCCAATACCATCAAATACCCAGTAAATTTGAAATTTTTAATCATCTCATAAATATGCTTGTTTAAATTAGCATAAAACTGCACCTATTCCATATTTCAATCTATGGACTCCCACCATCCATCTTTTCAACTTTGCCCTAACACCGATCTGTTGAAGCACACTGGATCGTGAGCTTTGAACTTTCCCACGGTCTACATTTGGCTGCTGCATATATTGTGCAGCTTATTATGTTCCTCTGTCCTGTGTTGTCCCTGATTGGGAAGTAGCTCTAGACAGCTGATCAGATTCAGATTGACTTTCTGGAAAACTACTTCGTTTCCCTTTGGAAGCACATGTCCAGTTACCTTCTGGTGTCGATGTTGGTCCTGCTGATTCACAGCCTAGACCCACGGATGCATTAAATATTGCAAAGTATGTAATACTCTGCATTTTGCATTATTCTCTCATTTCTTAGCTGGAATATTTCAAGACAGAGGAATTTCCTTTTATCTATTTTTTGATAATCCAGAGGATCTGCTCACTATAGGAAATGTTGAATGCTATACTTTATTTAGTCAGTTTTGGAATAATGCATTGGTTCAGTAACATCCTCTGAAGCTCCAACTGTGATCAGTAAAGTTTTACCCTTTTTTAAGAATCACTAAGCTGCACTTAAACAGATGTCCTTCAGCATGTTGCCAGGATTATCTTTACTGAAGCTGAGATCCTCAGGTCTTCTGGGGCAGCATCCTTCCTGTTCTTAGTAATCTCTTTGTATCTGCTATCACCAAACTGTGCATTCTTCCAGTAGACTTCCTGTCCAAAACTTGGAATCAGCCATTTCCCTTGCAACTTCTGGTTCCTTTTTTATGGAAAATGGTTTGGGGAGACCACAGTCCAGACATTTGGGATAATCTTTGCTTCTGATTTGTTCATCATTTGTAGGCCTTTCCAGTGGACAGAGAACAGTTATGCACTAAAATATATCATAAGTTCATGTTGATGCTTATAATTCAAATTGATGCCATAGGATTTTTAGTTAAATAGCAGGTTGCATTCTTCAACAAAATCTGAATACTTCAAATAATAAAAAAAACCACCTCACACAAAGCCTGAGTAGAAAAAGTCTTCCGTTCTTTGATTCAACAGTGGCTGAGTCACTGACATTGAACAGTACTTCAGCAGTTCCAGGGGACACTAGGCAAATAGAAAAGAACACCTGCCATCACCAAGCACAGAAAATGAGCGGGAAATTAGGTATCATTTATTAGCTGTGATTTCTAGGCTTTCATCCACTCTGTAGTCTCACAGGAATGATGAAGAATGTTCCCATGAATATATGTATTTTTGTTCTGGTTATACTAATTTTTATCATGCTATTTTATAGTTTTATATTTTGTAGTTGCCTCGGTTTGTAATGAAAATTTAAAAATCACTGTATTTTTATACTGCTATCCCCCAAGCATCATTTAAAAATTCAAAAAACAGAAAGTTAAACATTCAGAAATATATGAACATCAATGTATCCCCCTCTAGACTGATGATTTCTCCATTTTTCATTAGCATTTCCAAAACATGACGAAGTGTAAATAAAGCAGAGGGCCTGTGCCTACCAGATCTCCTCTCCCTACTCTTTTCTACAGAAAGTCACCTTCCTGCCTGAAGTGTGGAGTTAGTTTTCTAGTCCATGTACTCATAAATATGCTTAACATGGCTTTGTCTATTTTAAGTAATGTTATTATAGGATTATAGCTCAATGTATTGTGCGTGTGTGTGTGTGTGTGCGCGCGCACATATATCCCTCTACCCTGACCACCTTTTACAGGTATACCATGTTCCCTTCAGTAGCTGAAAATAAAATGGAAAAAAGTGATACAAAGATCTTATTGACCTAACTGACTTAATAGTCAGAGGAAGATTTGTGAACACATACTTGTAAAGCCAGTTTCTTCCCAGGACCAGATTAGAATAGGAGTAGAGACTGGAAAGATCTCACTGGTTATGCTGAATAATATTCCATTGTGTATATATACCACATTTTCTTTATCCATCTATCTGTTGTTGAGCATCAACTTGCAAATATACTGAGGAATGTTATAGCTGGACCAAATGGTATCTCCATTTTTAGTTTTCAGAGGTCTCCATACTAATTTCCATAGTGGTTTTACTTGTTTACATTCCCATCAGCAATGTAGATGAGTTTCTTTTCACCTCACATTCTCACCAGCATGTACTGTTTTTCTATATTCTTGATTATAGCCGTTATTACTGAGCTGAGATGGAATATCAATGTATTTTTGCTTGTCCCTAATGGTGAAAGATGTTAAGCATTTGTCATATGCTTATTGGCCATTTGTACTTCTTTTAAGAAAAAGAATCTATTCATTTGTCCATTTGTTGACTGGGATATTTGGTTTTGGGGTGTTTTTTGTGTTCTTTTTATATTCTAGGTAGTAATCCTCTGCCAGAAAAACAGCTGGCAAAGATTTTCTCCCATTCTGTAGGCTGTCTCTCTACTGCTTCCTTCCTGGTGAAACTTTTTAACTTGATGTGATCCCATTTATTGCTTCTTGCTATTATTTCCTATGCTACTGGAGCCCTAGGCAGGTGGTCTTTGCCTGTGCTATGGCTTCAAGTGTTTCTCCTGTTTTCTCCGAGAAGTTACAAAGTTTCAAGTCACATATCTAGGTCTTTCATGCATTTTGAATTGATTTTGTGTTACAACACAAGGGAGGGGAAATGAATGGAACTGGAGACCTTGTTGTTAAGTGAAATAAGCCAGACTCAGAAAGTCAGATATTGCCCACATTCTCACATATGTGAAATTAAAAGAAACAGAATTAGAGGGAAAAAAAGGAGATTATAGGAAAGTAGGAGAAACGCTATCTAACACAAGAAAAGCGCTCAGAAGGAAGAAGAAAAAGGGAAGAGGGCAACCGGGGTAAAAATAAACAGTGTGTATTAGAAGCATGTTGGGATATGCCAAAGGGAAATCCATTTCCTGTGTAATTAATATGCACTAATGCAATTTTTAAAAAGAGTTATTGAAGAAAAATTTGAGGGATGATTAATAAAAAATAGAATGAACAGCTTTTCTTAAATATGGGTCTGCTGTGACAGGCTCCTTACCTCTGGACACTCCACAAATCTGCTGTTCAAGAGCCCTGGAAGCCTGGAAAGATCTGAAATATTTACACATGGAGAAGTGAGGCTGCCTTCCTTATGTGGTCATGGGAATACGAAGGAGAACTTGCTCCTGGACCAAGGAGGTAATGAGAAGAACCGTCTGTCGTTTCCCAATGAAAGGTGCAGCAGCAGCTCAAAGCCACTGTTAGTGCAGAATTCTTGTCATCTTTTGTAACTCGCTTTAAAAAACAAAAAGACGGTACTGGGGACTGAATCCAGGGCTTTCACACTGAGCCACCTACTCAGAACTTTTTGTATGGTTTGCTGTGAGACAGAGTCTTGCTGAGTCACAAAGCTGCACAGGCTGGGTTCCAATTTTTGATCCTCCTGCTTCTGCCTCCCAGTGTGCTGAGATTACAGGTGTGCACCACCACACCCACCAATGTAATTTGTCTTTTTCATGTAAGTTTCAAGATCTGTCTAGGTCAATGTGTACAAAGCTCTAATGTTTTCATTTTCTTTGCTGTAGAGTACTTCGCTCAAACACGCCCGTTATACATGCAGCTGACACCATTTTGCTCCATGCTCATTCTGCACACTCACAGGACTGCACCAGGGCGTGACACAGAGGGAGGCTGCAGCAGCCAGCACAGCACACCTCCAAGGAGACAGGCGTTGGTCCACTGCTCCTGGACAAGCTTTACCAGGGAAGCTGGCTGTGTTTGAACCCGCTCTTGATTATTCAAACTCCCTTTCTGTGACCATCCTGTAATCTGTTAATATCCTTTGTCTAGCTTTCCATTTAATTATTTTTCCTTTCCTTATTGATTTGTAGGAGTTCTTAATAAAGTCAATGCAATTTTGTATTGGTCACATGGGTTACGATTATCTTCTCCCAATCTGTGACCTGATTTACGACATTGTAAACGATGGCACCTTTCATGAGGCTTTTAGTTCTAACTTAGTTTTATTTATCTTTTGTGAGTTTTGCTCTTGTTTAAACATCATTCTTTACCCTCAATGTCATGCAATCAATTCCTTATATTTTTTCCTATAAGAAGGAGGGATATTCACATTTAAATAACTGCATCTTTGATATACTGAGAGGTAAGTACTTCATTTTCTTTTTCTACATGGGTAATCATCACACCTGGGTCAGATGCTGGTGGTCCATCTTTTCTCCATATTTCATATATCTAGCCTCCATGTATGTGAGACAAGTTCTTTGCTCTTTTCCACTGCCATATTTGTTGATCAATAAGTTCGTATGATATTGTCTTCATCAGAGTTGTATAAGTCTAATCTGGTGAGGCAAATCTCCTACTTGTTCTGTTGACATTGTCTTAGTTACTCTTTCTTTTTTGTTGTTCATATGACTTTTAGAATCAGCTTGTCAAATTCCACCAAAAACTCATTATTTCAGTTACAAATATATTAAACTAATCAATATATTTTAAGTGTTTTTATCTTTAGGCTATTGAGCCTTCTTAAACTGAACATGATACAGTTTTTATTTAATTTGTCATATATGACCTTCATTATTATTTTGCAATTTTCTACAGAAATGTCATATACATGCTTTATTAGAGTTTTCCTATGTCCCTTAATAGGTACTGATTCGGACTTAGGTGATTGCCTACTGCCTCTGAACTCAAGCAAATCTGCCCTAAACCATATGGTTATGTTGGTGAATTCACTACAGAAAGTGTGATCTTTGAAAAACTTCTAAAGACTTTAAAATGCTATTGAGTTTTGTACGTTGACATCCCAGAGAAGTTGCTGTCTTATTATATTCCGATGCTTTGTCTGTAGTACCTCTTGCGTTTTACATGAAGACGGTCAAATGCAGGTAAGGGCAATTCTGTCTCTTGATTTCATGTTTGCTTCAAGTCAAAGCAACTAGTATCTTTTAAAACAATGCAAGACACAACACCAACTGAAGCTCATCACTGGAACAAATCTGAGCCCTACACACATTATGAAAAAACATAAAATTATGTCTGATGTTTTCCATGTATACAACCACATAGCGTTTAATTTATAGAATGATGCAGCTAGGTATGATGTATTCTGTTCTCAACAGTACTTAGTCTTCATAGAGATTCGTAGGCCTCATAACACACTAAATACTGCTTATCAACCACTTCTTTATTTTCAATAAAAGTTGATTTTCTCTTCACATTATTGCAAATTACCACTTAACGGAGGTGGTTTTTATTCAAGACAAAAAAAACAGCAGTGAGTTTTCACTAAACTTGTAACATTATTTTCTGTTTTTTAAAAAGTGAATGGGAGTCCTGGCAATAGCAAATGTATTTGGTTTTGTGTTTGTCATTTGGTGTTTGGTTCAAGGTTACCTGGAGAGTTCTGAGCAATCAAAATAGAACACATGTTTTTCAGAAACAGAGAGCCGATAAATGACAGAGGGCTCTAAAAGCTCTTGATCCTTTATGAATAATGACTTTTACCTGAAGACACTGAATAGATAACTTCTGCATTGTTTCCTTCATCAAGGTCCTTTGCAAACACAGTTGTAACCAACATATTTACTGGCTGGTCTTCCAGAACCTGTCACCAAAACAAATGGCTACAGATGCGTCACTGAAATCTTAAAAAGAAGTATCAATGGGCCTTTATATAAAAGCACACATTGCACTAAGCATTTTTAACTATTTTAAAACCCACATACAATTCAAATGTTTACCATGTGAAAATCAGATGAGTGAAAGTCCATGAAAAGAATCCACCCTACAAATGTAAAATTTTTACTCAATTTGAACAAAATATCTAGGGCATTTTAACCAATTTTATATATAAAAAAAAAGATTAATTAAAATGATATATTTTAGGATTTAAAATAATTCTAGCATTTTCTCGTTTATTGCCTTCTGGGGTTATGTTTTAAAAGGCTATTAGCATACAAAATATGCTTAAACCTGAGTCTTTATTTCAAGACACACACCTCACACAGGAAACTTAGTAATTAACAGAAACTTTCCTGAAATGCACATGTGAGTTCAACTGCCCAATTATGCACAGGACATGTTAATGACACGATTATAAGTCACCATGATAATGTGATGATTTTCGCTTTGGTAAAATTTTTCTCTAAATCTAGCTTTGGAAGATCAAAATGACTAACTTCAACACTTTTTGGAGTTTTTCAGTATGCATATTTAAGCACAATTTGAATGTCTAATTCCATTGTTTCAGAAGAGTTGTTTCCTAACTTTTTATCCTTATAACATACCCATTAAAAATTATGAGTCCTCCAAAACATACCTACTTACTAATTATACACAAGAACTAATATGCATGTATAAGAGACATGGAAACAAAAAAGATAAGCAGAAGTAGAAATTCATGGGTGTGCTCAAGAAGAGGAACTTTTACAATCACTGGATGTACATCCACCCACTTTAGAACTACAGACTGTTCCTGGCGTCACCTCATCGTCCTAGTGTCACGCATCGCATGGGATTCTACACCAGGAGATGCATCTGAGTGCATTACACACATGCAAAGGGATACACTACAATCCTGCACAGAAACACAGCTGGAGGTTTAATTCCAAAGAGCACATATATCCATTTTCTATTTCCTCTTCTTTTTCTTTTTCTTTTTGGGGTTTTTTGTTTGTTTGTTTTTTGAGACAAGGTCTCACTTTGCAGTTCAGGCTGGCCCTGAACTCACTATGTATCCCAGGCTGGTCCTGGATCACTTGAGGCGATCCTCCTGCCTCAGCCACCTGAGTGCTGGAATTACAGGCATGCACCACCATACCTGGTGTTTTTTGTCTTTTTAACATGCACAATTTCTTGGTTCTCTAGAAATACTGTATATGCAATGTCATACCAAGGCTGATTTGATAAATTTACACTTTTTACCACAAGATGGTGCTCAAAACAAATGATCCAGAGTATTACAAATTCATTGCAAAGCTGCTTTCACAAACCTTGATATGAAATTCCTTTCCAGGGAGACACTGCGGGAAAAATGGGCTGTTATCATTGATGTCGGTGACCGTGACATAAACCTCCATGGTGGCGTTTCGTGGTGGTGAGCCGTGGTCCGTCACCAGGACAGTCATCTGGTGGTGCATCTGGTGCTCACGATCCAGTGCCAACCAGCTGACCAGCTCACCTGCGGGACCCAGGCCAGAACAAAGATAAAGACACCGTGCACCGTGTCACTGGCATCAGGAAATGCCCCAAAACAGCCCACAGAGGGAACAGCAAGCAGAAAGCTCTGGCAGCAGTGTGGCTCCGGAGACCACATCCATATGTTGTCTCGCTTCGTGGCACCACTGAAAGAATTTCCTGAAGCTGCCCTTGAAAATGCCACTTCAGGTTTGGTATGCTCATATTTCAAATTATCTGCCATCAGCCATTTAAACTAAAAAATATGGATTCATAAAACCAAATGATTCAGAAGATTTTAAATTACTTATTTTATGCTGCTGCATAAAACAGTGGAAAGCATGTGAGTGATAACGTCACAGGTTCTGGGTTTGGGCCCCAGGTCCCCAACTAATGACCTCCCAGGGCTGTCATCGCAACAAATGCGACCACAGATCTAAAAGTATTCTAAGCTGTAAAGTATTGCACACCGGGCACTAGTTACCATTCCTTCAAAACAATGGCAAAATATCTTGCTGAAAATAGTATTCCTTAGGAAATGGCTTATCATTTAAGTATATAAATTTTTTAATGTAATGAAGTGTATGTGTAAAACAGATAGCAATTTCCCAAGTAACTATTTTTTTGCCTAAAAATGTGCTACCTTTGGTAAGTTCCTTCACGTTTCAGCCGTGAAGACTCCAGCACAAATCTCTACCTGCCTCTGCCTTTCCACACCTCCTGCTGTGCAGTGCCGACAACCCTGGGTTCTCAGCACAGGCCAACAAACCTCACTGCAAGAAGGGAAACAGGAAGCAGCAACCACCAACCTTTTGCTTTTACAGTACCAGGGACTGAACTCGGGACCTTCACACTGAGCTACATCCTCAGCCCTTTTTATTTTTTATTTTCAGAGTCTTGCCGAGTCCCTAAGTTGCCTAGGCAGGGCTCAAATTTGCAATCTTCCTGACTCAGCCTCCCAGAGTGCTGGTTATAGGGATGCACCACCACACCCGGGCACCATATGTTCTGTGGCTAAGATCTTTTTCCCCTTTAAATACAAATAAAATGACATCACATTTACAAAGAAATAAATAAAGTGGTGAAATGAGAAGCAAAAGTCACATTTGGATAAGTCCCTGAAATGGTGAGCTGAACTGTTGTATTTATTACATAAAGTACATTTAAACAGTGTTAATTATAACTGCAATTTTAGTAAAAATCACATGTACGGCTGCATTTTTCACGTTCTAAACCACAGCTCTCTGAGACCCCCAATTCTGAAGAGCGAACGTGCTTTTCTTTCATAGACCAGCTTGGATGGACAGGCAGAGCTGTTCAGAGGTCAGGGGAAAGGACTGGACCCGGCCCTGGTGCCGGTGACCCCAAGGCAGCGCTTAGGGTGGGCATTGGAGTCCTGGTCAGCATGAAGACCCTCAGAGCACTGGGGCGGGGAGGACAGGGCGGCCGCCCATGCCCTGGAGGATGCCCTTCAGCCACACTGTCCTGGAAAGGAGAACGGGTGAGCAGTACACAGCCTTTCGTGCCCCTTCATGCACCGTGGCTCTTTGTCCCCCGGAGCACAACCAGGAGCACGACGGGAACGATCCCCTCTGTTCATGGTAAAGATAGTGAACTCTGAGGTTAAGCTACTTGCTGAAGCCATGCAACAAAAATAAGAGGTGCACACCTGGCCTTTTGATTCTGGGTCCTGGACCAACTGTAGGACAAGGAGGATCAGCAGGGAACCAGCTGTCGCTGGCATATTTAGAAAAATGATCGAGTGAAATAGAAAGCCACCATCGTGTGGCATGGAGAGCAAGTAGGGCTGACCTGCCCACCCGTGCAGCCCGTGCCCAGCAGGTGCGGCTCCAGCTGGGGTGGGGATAAGGAGCCTGCAACCAGCCTGCAGCCTTCCTGACAGCCTCAGGCCTGCAGCAAAGCCCGGCTGCTTGAGTTAGTCAGAACCGCATCCAAATCCTGCCCCACGCAAGGGTGGGGCAGCACAACACAGGCTGTAACCTAACTGCTCCCTTCTGGAACTGTTTTGGTGGCTTCCTTGTACCTCTGGTCAGCTCTGTGACCTTACTTCAGCTACCTGAGTCTGTTTTCCAGTTATATCTTTGCAGTACAAGTACGTTTTGCTGTAGGGACCAAAGTCCTTGTAAATTTGTACAATACAAATTTTAAAGCATAATGCTATTTTATATTTAACTTTTAAACTAAGACTTTGGAAAATAATTACATCATCCTTCCTTTCTCCCTATTTCCCTTATCAAAATGAGAATGGAGACATAGATCCTCAAGGGGATTTTCAAATCTTAACTAATGGATGATTTATATTTCATAAATATGTCCTGACCCTAGTTAATGAAAAAGAATGGTTGGTAAAGAAAACAAAACCTTAACACGGGATTTACTCTCGTGAGATTCTGACTTTATCTCTAATTCAGAGTAAGTACTACATAGAGTCATGAGCTTTTTGATGGGGATTTAAGAAATCTGCTATGGGCCGATTTCACGACGGCCTGAACATCCGTGTGTTTGCACAAGCCTAGATGATGGCCTCTACTACACACGCTGGCTATTACAGCATTACACAGCGTAGTATGGAAAGGCCCATGGCTCCGACAGTCCTGTGCACAATCAAACGTACTGAACTCTGTATGCAACTGTAAAACTGTAAGTATCCGTGTACCTAGACACGGAAAAGGTACGGATCCCAGGCAATAGCTTTTCATCTCCACTGTAACTGTACGGGACCTCGGGCTCACGCGGTTTGACGCCGACTGCGGCCTTTAATCGCCGCGCGAATTCACAGGTGACCTATAAGTAGGCGGTAATAAAAGTAGGGATCCTCATAGGTGAAAACGCTTCCACTTGGAACTTCATTTTTAAATCACAGAGTACTATAATCAAACACTGAATTCACCACGAACTGTGACTTTAACTCTGTGCTTGCACTGACTGTACCTACAGATTCAAGTGTTCCCAATCCCGATTTTCAAGAGGCGGAAGCTGCAGAACGCTACCTGTGTGAGGGTTCATCCTGAAGAATGCCCCATCGGACAGGAGGAAGTAGGACAGCTGTCCGTTGTCTCCGGAGTCCGCGTCCGCGGCTGTGACTCTGCCTATCACCCCCAGGGGGACGGGGCTCTCCTGCACCTTCAGAAACACCTGGCCTTGCGCGAAGGCGGGGGCATTGTCGTTCTCGTCCAGGACGTGGACAACCACCTGGGTGCTCACAGTGCGCCCCAGTCCCTCGTGCGGGGCCCGGGCGCAGGCTCTGAAGCTGTGAGTGTGCGCGGACTCGTAGTCCAGCGGCCGCCGCAGGTAAACCCAGCCGGTGCGCGGGTGGATCCCGAACAGGCCGGCGTGGGCGCCTGGCTCCAGCGCGTACCTCACCCACGCGGCGGCCTGGCCCCGGGCGGCCGCCCGCACCTGGACGATCAGGGTCCTGGGTGGGACGGACTCGCGGGTCTCCACCCGGTACACCAAGTTTTCGAAGGCCAGGGCGGGGCTCGGCCCTCGCTCGACCACCACGCTCAGCGGCAGCAGCGAGGCCCGCGGAGGCTCGCCGAGGTCCCGGGCCGCCAGGGTCAGCCGCAGCTTCGGCGGCTCGTCGCGGCCCAGGCGCGCGCGCAGGTAGAGCAGGCCGAGCCCCGCGTGCACCGCGAAGGCGCGCGGCCGCGGCCCCGCCAGCGAGAAGCGCACCTGCCCGTTACGCCCGCTGTCCCGGTCCACGGCGCGCGCCAGGTAGAGCGCGGCGCCCGGGGCGGTGGCCGGCGACACGCGCACCTCCTCCTCCTCCCCCTCCGCGGCGGCCCGCAGGAACTCGGGCGCGTGGTCGTTGACGTCCGTGACGGCGATGTGGACCTCCGCGCTGCCGCAGGCCGCCGCGCTGCCCAGCTGGGCCTGGACCGTGAGGACCACCGTGGGCTGCGCCTCGTGATCCAGAGGCTTCCGGGTGCGAAGGGTGCCCAGCCACGGGTGGACGGCGAACTTCCCGTCCGGGTCGCCCGAGGAGATCCTGTACGAGACGGGTTCTGAGGAATCTGAAACGAGAGTGCAGTCACCGTGCGCTTGGCTCGGGGATACACCCGCTGGCCGCGCCGGGGCTGAAATTCCGCAGGGAAACCTCCGCGGTGGGGCACCACCGCTCACGTCCTCCTCCTCTGCTCTCCAAACGCTGCTGGAAGTGAACGCGTGGTGAAGATTTCGCGAGGGCAAAGGGAGCGTCCAGCGGACCAAGGGCCAGTGCGGGCTTCCTAGCTTTCTGGTGCGCGTAAAAGGGAAGGCGGGAACCCGGGCAATGATTTGGGGACCTTTCTCGTGTATCCGGGGAAACCAAGTTATGATGATGTCCGCTGTCCCTGCCACTCTCCCGTAAATGGCAAATGAGAGAAGGAGGGAGGGACAGCAGGACCAGCTCCTTGGACAGGTAATTGCCCTGGAGGAATGTGACCTGCACAAGTACCTGTACACTTGTGAAAGAGGTTCAGATGAGGAATTTTGCTGAAGTACTATTTGCACTAGCAAAAAGCTCAGATTATTCGTATTGGTAACAAAAAGAAAGTGTTTAAATTAGAATGATGTGCGGTTTGCCCGGGAAATGTACACACACACACACACACACACACACACACACACACACACACGCATGCAGAATGACAATTATATGACAAATACATCAGGATGCAGTTTTGGAAAAACTTTTCTTAAAGCATGGTGCTTTGGGGGGTGGGTTATAAAAGATACTTTCTACATTATAATTCTGTATTGTTTTAAGCTTTCTTCTTTTAAAAATGCGCATTGCTTTTATCATCAGAAAAGAATATAAGATGGACAGAAACAATGCTGACAGGATGAGGAGCCAGCTCTGGGTTGTGCTGTCTTCCCAGCTGGCATAGAGAAGAAAAGAACTATGGAAGATCACAGAGCCCAGGAAACCTTCCGACAATGGGCGCGGATGCCTGCTAAGAGTCAAGTACTCACTCAAGGACTCCCTTGCTTTCACTGTTCCTACAGGAGTGTCTTCGGGCGCATCTTCACTGACAGAGAAGGTGTACTTGGGCTTTTCAAATTCAGCAGGCGCCAGCATGGTGTGCAGGATGTGGACAGTGACCTCAGCATTCGTGGCAGCCACAAGTCCGCCACCATCTCGAGCACATACCGTGAGAAATAGTGTAGTAGGCTCCAAGTGAGCAAGACTTGATGTCAAGTAAATGATTCCTGGAGGAGAAAGAATTAATGGATCATGAGCAATAAACACTTGCACAACACCTGATTGCTAAATCCACTGATGTTTAATTTTATGTGTCAGTTTGACTGGGCAATGAGTGTTTTGCCCAAACATCACTCTGAGTGTGTCTGGTGGTGTTTCTGGATGGATTTGCACTTAAATCAGTAGCCTGCCTACAGTGGATCGCTTTCCCTAACATGCGGACGATGCATCCAGTCAGCTGAAGGCCTGCATAGAACACGAGAACGGACCCTCTTGTGAATGGACAGAATTCCTCCTGTCTGCCTGTCTTCAAACTGGGACGCCGTTTTTTTTTTTTTCTGTCTTCGGACTAAATGAAACATAAGCTTGTCCTGCATCTCAGGCCCATTTATCTTCAGTCTGGAATGTACCAGACTGAGTGCAGTTTGTAACTCATTCTGCAGAGCTTGGGTCCTGGAAGGCTCTGTAATGGCAGCAGTTGACTCATTATTCATATTTTCTCTCTCTCTCTCCCTCTCTCTCTCTCTGCATCTGGGTGTATTTACAGTATGTAAATATATGTATGTTTGTATATGCACACACACTCATCCTAGTGTTTCTGGTCCTCTGGAAAGCTCCAACTGACACACCAGTTTTACAACCAAGGAACTTGTAGCATCCTTGCAAAATGATGGCTCAAATTCTGTCAAGTCCACAATATGTCCTCGAGCTTAAACATTACACATTTTAGAAGTAGGTTGATTTGCTAGAAGAATGGGAATTGTGCTGCCTTTTCAGTTCCTACTACCATCTCACAGCTGGGGATGAAGAGCTGGGGGAGTGGTATATCCCAGAGACCTCATGCGGGTTAATACAGGTGCTGTGCTGGGTGATTCCATTTGCCCAGGTGCCTGAATCCCAAGGTCACAGGATGAAGCTGAAATTGTTATCTTCCTGTCCTGGAGTACACGCTATGTGGGACAGCTCTCTTTCCCAACAAATTCTACTTTTTGTTGGTGAGAAGGTACAACACACCAGCTGTGCATAAAGAAGCTACAGAAACTGGTAGAAGCATGGGAGAAGAGCTGTTAAGGTTAAGCTAACACATGTAGCCCATATGAGAGAAGGTGGCATTCAGGGTTCAGTGAGGGTGAGATTTATTCTGCCTGAGAAAACTATTTAATATTGTCAATATTCCCCTTTAGTGTACTATTTGGAAACATGAAAATAAATATAATGTAACTAAGCCAATAAATCAATCTGTTGATTTTATTTAATGAGAAAATATGCAAATGTTTCCACTGAATTTAAATACAAATAAGTATGACTGTACTTTATGAAATCTTTCATGGTACAACTGGGCAAATACTAGTTCAATGAGGAATTTTGCAGTTTTTGTCAGTGTATGAAAAGCTGACAAAAACATCAAAAATATCCATTTTTAAGCATAAAAATATGATACCCATTCAATTTAAATCAAAATTTTCCCTATTAGCAACTTTAATTCCTTATTCCTATTTGTCAGAAATTTAATGAAATGTGTCTTCTCTTTGATATAATACATTATCATTACCCAAAGTCGAATATTTTGCCTGACTTCTCTAAACTTAATACCCCCACTTTCTTTTGTTCCCACCTTATTAAGATATAACTGCTACATAAAAACTGTATCAGTTCAAGGTGTGCAATGTGACAACTGGAGATACAGGTGACTTATTTTCTTTGAGAGGTCCTTATCTGGCATGATTTTAAGTCATTTCCCCTTTGGTTCATTTTTCCTGCTCATGCTCCAAGTTGACCACCCTCATTTTGACACCAAAGTGAACACACATTTCCAGATCAACTTGACCATTACAAAGCAGACTGTAAACACTTTATTAGACTACTGTAAAATATTATTAAGAATGCCAACTAATATTGCACCAACTTTCAGCAGCTGTATTAGAATTTGGGTTAATACTGATGTCGTGGTCCACCAAATCATTCAATCGTTATCACACATATTTCTGACTCAGATATTTCCCACATGTTTTTGGTGAATTTTTTGAGAAAAATAATTAAAAAGTGAATTGTTAATCATTAAGTCTGTGTTAGATTAAAAAATAAAACTCCAAGGGCCGGGGATGTAGCTCAGAGGCACCGCACCTGCCTGGCAACTGCAAGGTCCCAGTTTGATCCCCAGTACTGGAAAAATAAAAATTAAAAAACTCCAATAATACAAAAGTATCTACAGAAAAAAATAGAAAGCCCCTCTACCCTCAATCACAACCACTCCCTGGGTGTATATTCTTCCAGGGTTAGCTCAACTCCAATTGTAGAGTGATTTTAAAAAGATTTTGTTTTCCCCTTTTGACAACTATGGGACTGAAAAAACATGAATGTCTGTCTCCACTAGACACGATCTAGCCTCCAGACCGACACCTCTTAGACCCATTTTCATTTCAGGAGAGGCTTCCTGAAATGCAAATCTAAGCACAGCAATGCCTTCCCAGAATCTAAAAGTTTAAATGCCTTAAAGTAAAATAGCAAATCTATGTTCATAAACTGGCCCCTGTGCATCTCTGCAGACCCATGTCTTGACTTTCTATATTGGACCTTTAACTCCACAATCTTGATTTCCAGAATAGAGCTTGCTCTTTTCTCTCTGGGCTGCTGTATCCTCTTCTGGGAATGACTTCTTCATCTCCTGTGACCTAATGATCCTTCGGCACATTTTAAAGTGGAACTCAAGTCTCACCTGGTACAGGTGGCCCAGGCTAAATACCACCCTCCTAAAACCCTACCCTGGCCTGGGGACATATGCCTACTATAAACTGCACACTATAACTGTCGCACTTTATCAGCTTTTAGATTTCTTATCATTCATGTATGCATTCATTAAGCTGTCAATGATTTATATAAAACTGAAACAACATTTCCAAAATAAGTAAGGAACAATTTGGTATCCATAATAAATGCAGGGTTCTATAATAAAGATGAAAATACTAATAAACGAAAGTTAGGCTAACAGTAGATAACCACAGATAGTTTAGATAAAGAATAAAATGTTAATAAATATAATAACATTCAAACTAACTAATAATGAAAATGAAAATTAAAACAATTTCCTTTTTTTACCTCAGGGCCGGGGATTTAGCTCAGTGGTTCCACCGCCTGCCTCGCAAGCACAAGGACCCGAGTTCCATCCCCGGTACCAAAAAAAAAAAAAAGTACAGAGCAATAAAAGTTAAACCATAAACACTGACACATATGCTATGTTTGAGCACATGCAGATGCATGCACACTGGAGAATAGGAGAAGACACGAACAATCGTCAAAATAGGTCATCTCTGTCAGGTGAGGTTATGTGACAGCTCACGTTCTACTTCTTACATTCCCACAGTTTGGAAAGATTTAGCAAGCAATGTGTTCATCTTGACCTGAGTGGTTTGCAAGATGCTTAGGAAATGAGAAAAGCACACTTCTGGGTGTGTCCGGTGGGTCACTGGGGGAGACCCTGGGGGACTACAGTCCCTGGCCACTTCCTCTCTGACTTTCCAATCCTCTCTGCATCTTAGTTCAGTGGGGTGAGGAGCGTCATCCACCGCAACCCGCAGCCATGGTGTCTCTGCCTTGGAGCCAGCCATGCGCTGAAACTTTGAAAACCCTTCCTCCTTTAATTTGTATGTCAGGAATTTAGTCACAGTGATGAAAAGCAGACAAACATAATGAGCATATTTAACTTGGTAATGAAAAATATACACATTAAAATATTGAAGGTATTTAGAAAAAGAAAATGTTTATTACCAAAAAGCATACATGTATTTGGCATCAAAGACGGTTTAGTCAAGGGTGCAGCATATGTACAAGTGAGCCCACACTATACTGCCTGCTCACGCTGTAGCACTCTCAGGCTGCACAAATACACCATGTGATGTCTGCATTTTCCAGAACGTGTCTTTTTCATGAAGCAGCACATATCTGTACACACCATCTTTCTTTAGAGCTGTGAAGGAAACTTGTATACTACAATAAAGATTTAGATTGGACATTAAAATATGTGCTTTGAAATAATCGCACAAGACACTCATTTAAAAATAGGATTTTCATTATATAAAACTTCAAGGGTGACTATCAATGGAAACTTCACAGCTAGTGAGTGAAGATTTTTAGGAGAGCTATAGTCATTAAATGATTCCCTGCGGTTGAACTAAACATGCTGTGTAGAAGTTGTCTATAGAAAAGTGAACGTGAAAAGTAATGTTTCAGACATTCAAATTACTAGCAAAATGTGCTACTGTAACACATGGCAAACTCTGAAATATAATAAGTCATAAGTAAAAACTATCATTAGTGGGAAAGAGATACCATGCAAATAGGTTAAAAGTTACATGGAAATGGTTAAACACCATGAAAATGTAGAAGTTTGCATATGGTGGCCATTCAAAGAAATAAGTCTATGTAAGAGAATCAGAAATCTACTTCCAAAGAAGTGCCTTAAAGGAGCAACAAATTTCAAGCCTTTTAAAACAGCACCATATAAATGCCTGCCACGCAAGATAAATTCCTCCAAGCTCATTTTTCATTAAGTTTTGAAAAGAAAATTTCCATTATCATTTTCCTCAATTTTTCATTTCATAGAAGTCTTAGAAACAGAGACCACTCTAGGTGTGTACACATTAAGATATTTATGTACACAAAATATATATACACATATACATGCATGTATATATACATATATGTACACATACATTTATATATTATGTATACAGAGTACATATATAATATAAGTATTATGCTGATCTACTAAAATTCCTGTGTAATGAGGGAATAGCAAATATTTGTTGTACAAGAAACTTGTTCATTAAAGTTATTTTTACAAAACTTCAGGAACACCATCGACTTCTGTATACGTTCAGAGACCAGTCACTGAAGCCTATGATTTTGCCTATAAATCCTGCCTGTAAATTAGGAGAACGTGTACCACTCCAGGAATATCAGACAGATGTAATTCCCAGCTGACAGGGCTCAATTTTCATGTGAACTCTAT